GACTCCTTGTTCTAGGTGTTCGAGATGGAATAGGTATGAATAGGTCATGGGTGTTCTTGTTCAGAACAGGGACCCCGTTCGTCTCCTTTCACCGTTGCGTTCGACGGTAGACGTACGAAGCAGCGGATGAGCGCAGCTGGATCCGACAGAAACGCCACACCCTTTTGGGGTTCCATGTTCAAGGCCCTGAACGTACTTGGATGTGCTTAAGGAACCTGGATGTGCTTAAGGAACCTGGAAGAAACATATGCCCCAGAAGGGGATTTACCATGATTTACCCGGGAAAATAGAGAATAGAACATCGGTGGTCAATTGATTGGGTACCCTGTCCCGTGGGCGCAGTGGATGATGGTTGCAGGCCGACATCTCTAGACCCTTTACCGGACTGTTGCAGGTAATGGGACACCCCCCAAGCAATTGACCACTAACTGACCAACGTGTAGCTTGAGATAATCCTGATACACCTTGTGTATCTTGTGTATCTGTCTACATTGGACTCTTAAAGCAACGAAAACACACCTGGCCTGATCAAATCTCCCAGACACAGCGCCCTGAGACTGGCACGACTGACTCCCGATCCATTGACTCCCGTTGAAAACATCTCCACTGTGCACTGGCCGCTGGCCTTTTTTGGGGAGTGCCAGTCCCATGGGGTGCCCGGATATTGCATTCATGGATTGGGGATGGGAACCCTATCCTTCTTCGTTGTGGGTGTCGGTGTCGCTCTTGGCGAACGTAGCGAGTGAACTCGCACACATAGCAAGTTCACCACTGACCAAGTATAGTAGACCAGGTGCAAAGCTGTGCACCTTGGTGAGAAAATAGGTATATACCTTGACCCTGTTATCGTGCTATTATTGTTATTATGTTTATATGTTTTAACTGCATGTATATCGATCTATATTATATAGGGTCATGTCCCATGTTCAAGGGTGCGAGCGAAGTAGGGTCCAGGTATCTGTTACAGGAGACTCCTTGGTCCCGTAGTTTGTTTGGGAATCGTGTTTGGTCTACATCTATCAACAGGATACACCCAGCTATGTCTGTTTGGAGGATCTTCCACTTAGGAAGTGGGTGACGAAATACAGTTCTTCAAGTCCCCCCAATGTCTTATCCCTGGACCCGACTTCGTTCGTGAACATAGGACCATGACCCGAACAAAAAACAGGCACTATAGTAAATACATGTAAATACTGGTACTCCTTTTCGGAGGTACGACCAGCTCAACTTTGAGACTACCTGATCCGCAAAACATGGCAAAACCAAGGCAACCTGGCTGGTTGTACTGTGGATCGGAGCCCAGCACCGACCCTGTCCCTGGCGGCCTCACACGCTCCTGGGCTGGTTTTTGTAGTGTAAAATCCTTAGTTGATTCGGTAAAGCCTATTAAATTAATGGTTGTTGGAAGCCTAGGGTATATGTAAAGGCATACGAAAGGCGAGTTGTGAAAGAACACGTTTCATATATTGATGACATTGGATGAAACCACTTCAGTGAAAACACATTTCTTAGGTGCCTCTTAAAAAAAGGGAAAACAACAACAAACACTATATAAGTCACTCAAAAAAGGGACAACAACAACAAACACTATATAAGTCACTAATTAGACAAAAACATCGAAAACAGCCCATAACGCCAACAAAGAGGATCACGACGACCACAACATGACACGGTCAAACCACTTAAGCTTAGCTCAATCCACGGTGTGACCTGCTCCTTCAGCCCTTTTGTCCGCCCGGTTCCCGCATGGAGCGGCGGGCAGACCTCACCCAGCCTCAACATGTCTCAACCCGACCCTGCCAGGCCTCCGAAATGGGTTGGGAAAGGCCCTGTGGCCAAAACACAGTTTTCAATGGGTGATCTGGCAGGTGCTGGTGGATGTTTTCTCAGTCACCTTCCAAAACCCCCCACCTTCTAAAGGATCTCTCTCACTTGGCGCCATGGAGGAAAGTATCCAAGCAGAACTGTGTCTGGTTTGGACTGGGTTTCACACCGGCGGCATTCATGCACCGGAGATTCCGTCGTGGGATCCTGACCCACACACCCTAGCTGCCCTAGCTCGCCGTGGACCTAGTTTTGTAGTGCAAGATCCTTAAATCAAACAATGCCTTGTTCGGTGAGGCCGGTATGTATCTAAAGGCCGTTTTCCAAACCAAGGGTAGTGGGACGCACACGGACCGGTAGCCCACGCCCTGGTCCAAAGAGGCGACGTAGCTCTGGTAGGTCCAACGACAGGTGGCTTGGGTTCCCCAGGTGGGTCAGCCTGCGACCCACAGCCAGAGGGGAAGGATCTGGAGCCCCACCCTTTGGACCGAAGCCGAGAGTCGAGTCAACAGTCGCTAGCTGAGACTCGAAAGGACTGCCTCGCGGTCGAGAGCTGGAGAACTGGTGGAAATTGAAGGTTCAATCCCAGCGGAGTTTGTGGAATTGTGGTGGAATGATGGTGAAATTCCTTAAAACTTGTGGAATGATGGTGGAATTCCTGAAAAAGCCGGTGGAATGATGGTGGAATTTGCCTTCGCTTCGCTGTATGAGGTGGCCTTTCAACGCATGTTTTGGGCTCAACTGACGGTCTCAATAGCGAATCGTCCAAAAACGCGACCCCTTTGGTGTCTAGAAATGGTCAGTCCGGCCAAGCTCGAGTTGTTGCTGATCTGCTCGTTGACCAAAGGCCCATCAACATGTTGCAACATCGATACCAGAAAGAAATACAACACCACCTGTAGCAGCTTTGTCGGTAAGTCGAACCAGCCTTAAGACTCAAAAAGTGAACATAGCCCATCTCCGACACAGAAATCAAGAGGTCGATGCTTGCATGGTTCATCTTTCCCAGACACTCCATGGGACTGCCATATATGCCGATCAATTGACCCCCAAAACCACCCCAACTGATCGGCATATATGGCAGTCCCATGGGTCGTGTCTGGGTTTGATCATCGTATATCATCGTTGGTTTCTGGAAACTCCGGTCAAATCAAATCACTGCTCCTTTATGGGGCCAACCCCTCTGGAGTCAAGGATTCGGTCCAAGTGCATGGCCGGTGACGTGACATGGCAGCCATGCAAACCGAACGCCAATTCGAGGTTCCGTAGCCCGGTGGTTCATGTCACCACACGATTGCTGAACTTGACATTGACCTACATTGACTGTGACCCTTTTTCGATTTAAAGCGTCTTAAGTCCGTCACTCCAATGGTCTTCGTCATATTCCAGTCCGGTGAAGAACGGGTCGGGAGTGGGCAAGGCTAGGCCAAGAGTCTCACCCGATGATCCCGGTTGGGTTGCCGGGTGAGCACTCACCTGGCCAGGGGTCTGAGCACTCACTGATTCCTACATGTGCCGCCCATGAAGACCCAGCCTACAGGCTGCCTACAGGTAGCTCGTTTTGAGAGGTCGAGTGGGGGCTCTAAGAATCGTTAAGCCCAAACACTCCATGGGACTGGCATAGTTACCTACATTGGAGTGGTTTCCAGGGTCAACATATTTATAAATTAAGGTAAATATGCGGCTTCCCATGGAATGTCTCGGTATTTTCACTCCCCCAATGTCTCAAGAGTTTTTACATGTTACACTGCAAATGAAAGGGAATCGTTGATTTTTGAAGAGTCTACCTGAGCAAAGTTCGAAGTGACTTCAACCCCCCTCTTCCGACCTCCTCCCCGACCCGTCGGCGGGGAAACCGCCCACACCGCGCCATTGAAAACGCACCCAAGTAGTAGCACAGCCTGATTGATGCACCGTGTGGCGAAGAACCCCAGCTCTTAAACCAAAACGCTGGTGGATTTCTTCGGGTCTGAAGGGATTTCTTCGGGTCTGAAGGCAACCATTTGGCTGTGGAACAATGGCACCATGACCTACCGACGTAACGGTCGTTCGCTACCTGGTGGACTGGTACTCCAGGTTTTTTTTCCCATCCCCGTTTGATATTGTTTATGAGATTGACTATAGTTACACTGATTGTAGCTGGTACAGGACTATGTTCAAAAGAAGGGATGTGTGCCAACTTGTCTTGTGTTTCTCAACGCCCCTACACAGTTTGGAGTATTGCATTCTTGTAGAAGCCAAACACATGCACGCAAAAACATCAGTTGCTTTATCTTGTTTTATGTAGTAGTGTAAGTGCCAGAACCAAGTTGACCTCAAATATCCTCAAATATTATTGGTGGTGGTTAGCAGTGAGCAGTGGTGGTTGGTGGTGAATATAAAACTTTACCGAGGTGAATGATACCACCATGCTGGTCGCAACTCTCCAAATAAACAACAAATGCATTAACAATCACCTTACAAGAGAGCTGGTTGCCATAGCCCCCAGTGGCTGTGAGCGAGAAACACCGGCAGGAGTCTTGAAAACTCGCCCAACTGTGCAGGAAACTGGAACAAAGCTTGCAGTAGTCAGTAGTCCTCTTCTTTGGTGTCAAAGGTCAAAGCCAATAGACAGTTCTTGCTTCTGTTAGACGCCGTTGTGCACAGTGTTGGGCTTGAGTGTTGGACCTCCAACAGGTTGTCCAACAGTCCTTAAGGCTCCAAGTGCCTCCTCAGAAGGTATTTGGACCCTCTAAACCCACCCCAAAAACCTTCTTAGAAGGTACTTGGAGCCCTAGGGAGTGGAAGTGACCAAACCTTACAAAACCCGGAGCCGGGACGGCCGGTCGACGTACCTCAGAGTCTACGGGGACAAGACGGAGGCGGCCAAGGTCGTCGTAGCTGTTTTGGGTTTTGGGTCATGTCCCCTAAGGTATTTCTCGACGTCAGGTCCAGGTACCTAATAAATTTGTCATGGCCAAGGAGAACGATTGGAAACACCTTCCAAAAACATCAACCCGGACCCTGGAAACGATTCGTTTGATGGATTTCTTTTCCGAACTGCCATGCTTGCGAGGTTTTGAACTGCGAAGAATTGGATGAAGCGTCAAAAAGAACACCCCTTTGCATCCCTTTGCAGGATATACAACACTTCAAACACTCTGTCCAGGTAAGGGCCATGCCAGAAAGACCTCTCCTTACCTCGCTATAGAGCATGGTAGGAAGCCGATGAAGTACATCAAAGCTCTTCTTCTCAAGTTCTCAAATGCGCCCAAATACAGCGACTTTTGCATGCCCAGCAGGAAATTCAAAGTCGTTTTTCTAGGCAGAAAGGCCTCAAAATAGGCAGCATCTTGGCGGGCCATTCCTCAATCCACCCACCGGAAGATTTCAACCATCTGCCATCTACCCTCTGCCATCTACTTCCATCGACACGGGTTACCCGTTCTCCGGCCCTCCCAAACTCGCTTCCGGCCGTGGAGCTTGATGATTTGGAACACGTAGAGCCTTCTGCCTGGCCGGTGTCCACGCATGCAAATACAGACTTGGTCTATAAATCTATAAGGGAGAAGCCACAGGAAACCCATAAGGGGGTGACCATGTTTTACTGCAAACGTGCCCTTAAAGCAGTCCAATGGCTTGAACGCCACACCAGCTTCAACAAGGGGATGGCTGTACTCCCTGTACTGGAAACCAGAATGCCTTAACCAGGAAACCAAGTCGGAGCCAATCCAACCAAAGCCCACAAATGTGTCAAACAGCTCCCGTTTGGGGCGACATCAATCCAAACACGTTTCATGGCATATCCGTTCATGGCCCTCCAAACCTATACAGCCACCACCTGAATATATCTATACAGGTTCTTGCATGTGTGCCATGGCTCCCAGTGAAACGCAGGCACCCACTATATATAACAATAGTGTAATGCACATATATCCATAGTATGAACCAGAACCACTCGTTTGGGCGAAAGATGGCGATTTCGAGTCGAAATGGGTTTCACTGGGTTTCACTGCTTCTGGTGGTTTGGATCCCACAACCAGGAGTCACAAAGGGGTGGTGTTTAGTCCCTAAGTGAGTGGATAATGGGCACCCCTAACCTCCATGGATCGCACCCCGTCTTGTCACTGCTGGAAAATGGATCTTTTTCGATGGATCAACATGGGAAGATGGGAAGATCGAACGCCGATGATCCCACTTTCTCTGGTCGAAGACAACCCGTCACCTGACGGTTTAACGAAAGAAATCGATGGATTCGCAGCAATCACCAGACTCAACAAAGGAACAGTATACTAGTATACAAGATAGTACAAGGCAAGGAAAAAATATCACAGCGTAAGGTAGTACAACATGGTACAGGGCAACAGAAGATATCACAGCACAATTTCAGAATATCTGACTGGTGCTCTCGGAGGATCCCCAGGAATCTCTACTGGGAGATCAGTCCCTCATTCCCTACGAGTCGCACCAGTCCAATACCTTGCTCCCACGTAGCATTGAAGGCCGTCCATGGCCGTCCATTGCCGGCTGCGGGTTTTTCACACCCGTCCAGGCCAGTCTTTTTGCGGTTCTCTTGCTCTTTGCGCTGCCGCTGTTCTGCCGCTGTTGCGCCCCACCCGAACGGATTCGTTTCGGCCTTGAAAGTAAAAGCCTGCTTCGCTCTGCTGGATGTACTGGACCATGTACTGACCTGGGCGGCGCGAAGCTGGGGGCGCTTCGGAAAAGCTGGGGTTGGTGAGATGCGTTTGGTGCGTTTGGTGGGGTCCAACGAAGGCGTCTTGGCAAGCTCTGCGGCACGGTCCGTGTTTAATGAACGTTTGTTGAATTAAGTCTTTTTGTCAAACATTTCGAAGAGGACCATGGTTCATGATTCATGAACTATAAGGCAGCATTTCCTTCGCTCCATTCGCATCTCTGCGAAGCTTGGCTCCTCATCCCAACCCCCCCCCACCCTCACCTTCCAGGTCTGCCCGCCACGTCCGGTCCATTGGGCGAGGGGCGGCCAGGGTCCATCCACCCGGACGAGCCCTCGCCACGTTTGAAGCTCCAGGAATTGACCAAGGGCGCCACCCGCCCCGCCTGGGCCGACTCGACGAGGTGACCATGTGGAGAAGCGGATCGGTGGATAGACATAGGTCGATGTCACCAGCGAGGGGGAGCGAACGCGGTTCGGTCTCCGGCAGTTGAGAGATATGTTGGACAGGTTGGCACAAGAAAATGATTCCAACCCTGCAGGTCACGCATTTTTAGTGAGGTAGACCTGGTAGACCCGGTAGACCCAATGAGTCTTGCAGAGTCTTGGGATGGCGGCGGGGACTTAATTCGGAAACGTCAGGTCCGTTCGCTTGGAACTGAACATTATAGTTGTATAACAAGTAAGTAGAACAAGGGGACGCGAGAATTTAAGTATTAGCTTTCTCATACTCTCTCCATGTGTAGGCGGCCAGAAACGCAGGCAAGATCAGTTCCGCAGGTCTTCCTCCCTTTCCCATATACCCACAAGCCACAAGAAACGTATGACAGAACCAGAAACGGATGCCGCAAACGAGCTGGCGAGGTCGACGAAGTCTCGATGGAGACTGCTACCATCACGGATATGGATGGATCATGATCCCTAGGGCTCCTGTCCCACCTCCGTTTCGAAGATGGTTGGGGTGGGTGCGGGGGGTCTAACCACCTCCTGAGGATATGGTTGGAGCCCTAGGGGATGGATCATACTGTATGCATACGAGCTCATCCAGGCACACACAATATTACTTCTCCAGGGGGGGCTCCAAGCGGCCCATCGGCTTCTAGGATTGAGCCCACAGACCCCTCCAAAGAATTCGGGTCAGACCCCTCCATACAGGAAGTAGCGATCCACAGAGGTGGATCGGCAACAACAACCAGACCCAAACCCTCCTGCACAGACGTGTGGAACACATCACCTTCTAAGAAGGTGGCAGTGGATCCATAAAGGGTCTTACTATACCCAAACACTCCATGTATGCCATATATGCCATATATGGCATACATGGAGTGTCTGGGATATAAGACTTACTTTGGATCCATAGGGCATTTGACGACTAGTCGTCTTCTCTTCTCCGAAGATGCGCTCCCCACCATCGCCCGTGAATCTTTCGCAGTTTCGGTGACCTGTTTCGTTTCGCGGCCAACGGGGGAGGTCTCCGTGGAGTAGTTTGAACTGTTGAAATTAAAGAAGGAAGTGTTTTCAACAGGTGAAAACATATATAAAAAATATATGTGTGTGTTCAGGTCGAGTCACATGGGCATGTAGAATAGAAGACATGCAGGGACAGCCAGTTCGACCCGCAGATACTAGTAGATTTAGACCAAACATGACTCATAACATGACCAAACCTATTTCCGTACCCACCCTTTGAAGACACAAAACGAAAAAGCCGGACCTTCTCGGTGGTCGCCGTATCATTAAAAAAGACGTACATGAAGAGCAGGATGGGAGGAACCTGAAAAAAAGTCGGTCGATCAACGGTGCAGCGGATGGTGCACGAAAAACACATAAAGACAGCTCGAGCGGACAGGCTTTGCTGATGTTGAGGAAGATCTGCGTCCAATCTCGTTCAAAAACAGGGTATCTATCTGTCTACCTATCTATCCTCTATCTATCGATCGATCTATCTATCTGCAATTTATGTATTTCACGTCAACTCATCAAAGTGATCAGTAACCCCGTTCATGCAGCTCAGCCACGAGCCACGCAATAAAGAGGAGTACCTCAGCAGTTCTTTTCTTCTTCGAATGGTGAGGTGAACGTCTTGCTACTACCTGGACCTGACGACTTGTTCGTAGCCGGCTGAAGATGGGACATGACCTGAAGAAAAGCAGCCAGGTACGTATATATGTACCCATTTTCTGAGATACAAACTGAGTTTTTGTTCGGTTTTTGCAGGAACCGGGCAGTGCTCAGTCCTGTATCGTGCACGTGTCCACGAGCTGGAAGTCGTATTTCAGCTAAGCAGCTAAGCCTGCTAAGCCTACTTGAAGCACCAGGAGTCCCAAGTGGGGGTGGTTTTAGACCCCCAAGTGAGTGCATGAGTACCACAGTGTGAAACCCTGGTACTATGAGATTGTGTACAGGACTTTTTGGGGGGGGACACCAATATCAGGAAGAAAAACACATGTTGGAAGCCAACCACTGGGCCCCTTGGCCTGGGTAGGGTCCTAACTCCTCAGCATGGCTACCTTAATTGGATGTTGAATGATTTTGAGCATGGCATAGTTACCATACCAAACCATCCATGTTCATGTATGGAATATGTACCTATACTATATACAAACACCTTCAAAAGACGCGTATGCATGATACAATATATAATATATATAATTATATGGAAGATTCACTAATTACCTGTATAATTACCCGCAGGCCCGGCGGCCGGGCCCTTAAAACATATCAAAACATCTGAACACATCTTTAAACTCACCCCAATTGTACATGGATTGTTTGGGATAATTACAGTATAGATCTTCCTTGTCATCTATCCGTCGCGTGTGGCTGGCTGCCTTTTTCATCAACTCGGTCCACCGTCTTCAGAACACTCCACCCCGAGCGTTTCAGAGATCGGGTCATGGGAGTGACCTCACCCCACTCTCGCCCTCCCAAAACCATGGTTTTTCCAGCCAGTCACAAGACGGGGTGCCGGTTCCGAACGGAGGAAGGATAGGGGTCCCCAGAACATCCACTCACTGGATGGGACGAAGAAAACCACCCCGACATGTGACTCCTGGTTGCCATGACTTTGGCAGGTCCCATAGACTCCATGGGACTGCCATAGGACTGCCGATCAGTTGGGGTGGTTGAAACGGGTGTCAATGTAGGCATATATATGGCAGTCTCATGGAGTCTATGGGACCTGTACATGATTCACTTCTGGTAAGCTTAGTCCACTCTTCGTTCCGTCACTCCGACATCTCGGCCAGCGAACACACCGGCCCCGGTCCCGGCGCCCAAGGCACGTGAGTGCGCTCCCCCCGATGTTCGTCAGGGCGGAAGAAGGCGATCTCCACCAGTAGAAGCAAACTCACCAAGCAAGAGGAGCCCAGCAGAAGCAGCGAGGCCTTGGCTGGAGTCCATGCGTTCGCTGCGTTCGCTTCCAGTCCCGATGGTTCGTTCAGCTTCTTTCTGGACACTCCCATCGCCTGCCGCGATAGGCCCCAAAAGACCGACCGACTCCGCTTCCGACCGGCGAGGACCCTGGGGACATCGATCGATCCCACCGTCTCCGGTTTCGTGTGTCGTCGCGTTGACCCGGTTTACCCGCGTTTAGCGCAGGGGATTGGTCTCATCTCATCCATGGCACGCCCAGCTTGGTGGAGACTTGTCGCAAGGTCACTTGCACCACATTCCACTCCGCAGAGGCCTCGGACAGCGCAGCTACTGCCCAAAACCGCTTCAAAACAAAGCGCAGCGACCCGTGTGAAGCGCGACCGGTCTTATCCGGTAAAACATGGCGATAAGATGCTATAAGTGTTCAGTCACATTTAAGAACCAGGTCTCTTGGTGTTGTTGGGATTCTTAAGCTGCGTATACCTGAAGAAATAGCCTATAGATGCCCATATAGCCATTAAAAAAAAACTCGAAAACCCGTTTTGAACATTGGAGGTCTATGGTCAGAATCAACACACCAACTTCAAGCAAACCTCAGGCCCTACAAGCAGTTCCTGCCTAACAAGCGAGGGGATTCTTGGGCCGGTTTTTCGTTTTTTTCCATCAGGGGTAGTGATAGTCCTTCCTCAAAGAAACGGCCCGGCTTCCAGCATGGGACTTGGATTGCCCAAGGCCCACTTACAACTATTGAATACCATTCCTGGTTCTCCATAAATGCTCCTTTTCCTTACTGAGATTGCGATGTTTGTTGATGTTTTTTGGCCTCAAATACATTGTCACTACCCCAGAAAGGGCCACTCAAAGAAGCAGGTGGGTCACAACTCATCATCTGGAATCCCAGATCATCCATCAGACTGGAATCATTGAATAGTTACCTACATGTATGCAGAGCTATGTTATAGGGCAAATCCATGTAACTCTCCCAGTTCAGTGGATGGTCGGGGTATCGCACTCTCACGCTCCCGGTGGGCGTGAAACGAAGCCGGTGTGAAGGGGTCGTTGCACTGCACCAAGCGACAAAGGTCTGACACTCCACGTGTGGAGTGTCTTTAACCTAAACACTACATTGGGTGCAGTGGTTTCAGAATATTTTATATACAAATATCTACATGCACACATAACATCTCGTTTTGCATGCATACATTGACATGGAAGGATATGTTATTTAATATATAGCCTAAGTAAACCGTCTCAGTGCGGTCGGACGGAACCGTCTTCCACCTCGTCGGACTCGTACGTCCCAGGGGCGATGCCAAGGTCCATGTTCCGGAAGAAATTCACCTCTTCCGCGCGCGCAGCGTGAGGAAGCGCGGAAGCCCGGCTGACGCGGAAAAGCGAGAGAAGACTCGGTGTCCACCGACGGATTTCGGAACGACCTTCCAGGCTGACGCCTCGTGGAGCATTAAGGAGTCACATAGATTTGATATGAGTCATGATAGGGAAATGCATGGAAATTGTCTCGGACCAACTTGTCTCCTGAACAGTGGATTCAATTGATTGAACAAACAGTGGATAGATGTGGATAGAGTGTGTATCCTGAACCTCTGAATATCCGTTGGAGTTTCTTTTTTTCCCGAATCCATCTCAATCCAATACAGTACATAGATCTACACACCAAGAACTTCAAGCCGCGCCTTCGTTGACAAACCTCCTTTGCCGCTCTCGAGATGTTCACCCCGCCCAGATGTTGCATCAAAACCACCCCAGGGTGGAGAGAAACCAGCCGCCGGATCTTAAAATGGTATCTTCGGTTTCTTCCCACTGGTCTTTGGGGGAGGTCAATACCCTAGGGATCCAACTACCTCAGGTGATTGGAGACACTCTTATATATGTAGGTTCTGAGGGTCCAGTCGTACCTTCTGAGGTTCGGTACTTGGAACCCCTTCGGATACACACACAACACACACAAATACATCTTCCAAGTTGCAGTAAAGCTATCGAGAGCTAGGTCCAGTCCTGGCACCGGTGGTAAGGAGAAGGACGCGCCGAGAAGGACGCGTACGATTACTTGAGAAAAGGGGGTGGACGAAAGGTTGGTAAGCATTCGAAGGTCAGCGGCAGCAGCAGCAGCAGCAGACCACCAAGCAGCAGCAGCAGACCACCAAGCAGCAGCAGCAGCAGCAGCAGCAGCAGACCACCAAGCAGCAGCAGCAGCAGCAGATTTATTCGAATCCAAACGATAAAATTGAGAGAAGAGAAGTGATTCGTCCCAGGGGCCAGGGGGGATTTGATCCCGGCCCCCCCCCCGTACAGTCGTAAGTCGTTTTGAAAACCCAACAATCAGGTCATAGAGGAGAATGCCGCTGGTAAGCTAAAGCTTATCAAACTCAAGGTTGCCTATAGCAACCTTCCGTGACAAGAACATCCAGGCCGAGAACGGTGCAGACGTCCCCAGGCACCAAAAAAACGAAGCACTTCATTTATGTAGGCGCTTGGTTTCAAACCAACCCACCCACATGAAGAGTTTTTGTCCAATCGAACTGGGAGAGTTTAATAAGTCATCAGAGTCTATACATTGAGGTTTGGTTGATCCGCTGGACCCTCCAGCACAGAAAAAGAAGGTCCCTTCCGACCCATCGACCCGAACACGGCGACCGCACTCTGCCGGAGTGGGACCCCTCCAGTGTCTACAGCCGGCACTGAGTTTCGTGGATCCGGAACGGAGAATCAGTGGATCAGCTTGGACCAGCACGAGCAAATCAGCTTGTCTCCGTCGGACGTCGCTTCCGAACGGCTTCTCACTTCTCACTTCGCCTGTTTGACGCTTCTGAACGGCTTCACCACCAAACCCTACACCGACTTCGTCGCACCTCCTCAGGTTCGGTATGACTGGACCCGGCTGGCTGGCACCCGGGCCCCGGTCGTCCCACCGAACCGAAACGGTTCGGTACGACGAAGTCGGTCGAACGGGAAAGGACTTCGGGGATTGACCAAATGGGATTTCCGATTTCCATCGGGGACGAAAGGGGCCGTGATGTCACCCACACGGGTGGGCCAGCATGCTCCCAAATGGGTGCTGGTAACTCTCGTGCATCCCAGGTGCTTTGTTGGTGTTTCACCCCCAAACTTCGAAGCTTGACCGATCATCTGGTTCGTTCCCGATGCTGGGCCAGGTGTGGCCAGGGTGACAAATCCACCACTCGTTCAACCAAATATCTTGGCCACCAAGAACTGTGGGACGTTTCAGCTCGAGACAAACTTCTCCTGACTCACTAAGCCGGGCCACTCGATCCCTGGAACCTCAAGGCTTTCCAGCAGTCACAAGACGGGGTGCCGAACTTGGAGGATAGGGGTCTCCAGAACATCCACTCACATAGGAACTAAAAACCCACCCCTTTGTGACTCCTGGTTGTCATGTTTTGTCCAACTCTTCATGTACAAGAATCAGAAATGGGTGTCCCCATGTGTCCCCAAACAGGGTGACCTGCAGGGTGACCTACAGGGTGACTTCCGGTCAAGGTCGGTCTCAGGTTCTCTCCCAAGCCTTTGAGACGGTTCTCGGCCTTTCTATGTGTTCTCGGCCTTTGAGCCTTCGGACACATGGACGTGCATCCACCATCTCCGATCGCAGCCGCCCGCCTGCGACCAGGTGCAGCTGCAAGTAGGCCAGAGCTGCCTGAGCACGTCTGCTGTCTCTTCGTTCGAGCAACAAAGCGTCCAACTTTTGGGTTGGAATCCATCATATCAATCGTGAGCTGTGCTGGCCAAATGGTGGCCAATTTGTCGCCACACGTGGGTGATCTCCAAGAGTAGTAAAGCATCCTCAAACTCTATATAGATTGTTCAAAGGTGACAGGTGCTGGAGTATCTTCCGAGTCTTGGACAACTACCCCTATGTGGATCATGCTTGTCGCTGATCTAAGGGCATGAAGATGAGACAGTCTTTGCACCCTTGAGGCACGAGGCATCCGCCAATACGTCTGAATTCATGACTCAAGCTGTGGTCCAATACTGTACTTTCAATTCTGAAGTACAGGCCCATCCCCAAGACCTCAAAGTTCCAGGTATCGACTTCGCCACCCAAATCCACCTCAATTCTACCTGGAGTCGACCGGACTAGTACCTCGGATACAATGTTGAAGGGTCATGTCATGTCCCATTTTCTCAGGGTACTTGAAGTGGGGCCCAGGTACCAGGGGTCACAAAGAGTGCCTTTTGGTCGGAGGATAAGGGTGCGCACCTATAGGGATTATAAACCACCCAATTGTGACTCCTGGTCCGATGGCCTTTTTGCATCCTTTTTGCCATGAGTTATAGTTGCCATTGAATTAGTTGATGAATAGAGGGGATATGAGGGACCCTCCAGATGAACCCACCAAAAATAGAACAAAACCTCAAACATGTCGCGGAAACTTCAGGGTTCCGAGCCCAAATCCGAGCTCCCGCCGAGTCGGGTTTTTGAGCTCGGAGAGTTCCTCTTCTGATCGGTCGAGTCACCATGCCCAAGGCTGCCAGGGAGAAGGCACCGGTCAGTTCGAAGCGCTCCTGGCGCGGGTGGCGAAGAACGCGCGCGAAACCGCGGTTTCGGCGAAGAAACATTGAGGGCATGGTGTTCTATGCACTCCGAAGGGGAGAGTGGATTTATGTGGACCCCTAACGGGCCCCTAACTCGAAACAAAATATCCAAAGTGGATCGTTACGATAGCTGTATGTCTTATAAGTTTGTTTGAGTAGACTTCAGTCAGTAGAATCCTCAAACAGGTTCTCACTCGACCTTGCATCCAGTCCTCATCATTGGTAAATCCTCACCACTTCACCAGAGATTCACCAGAGATGTGCGAAACTCACGAACACATCATGTAAAACGTAACTGGTTGCCTGACACGTCTCCATTTTAAGCACAGTATATAGCAGGTCTCCGTGACGTTCGTGTGCCAATGTCATGGTGTTTTGTTGATATCTCCCCTAAGAATCCGGGCCCTCAAACACAAAAAGAGGGTTTCTAGTTTCGAGGGTCCGGACCCCTGCGAAGGTGTCGGGTCTGACCCGTGCGGAGGGCCCAAGGATTCTTAGGGTCCAAACCATGTGTTCACGCTTTCCCCACCAAACAACAAGGGAGAGCTGATTCCTTCGACCAGCAGGGAACAATTACTGAGTTGGACATAGTCATAGATGTCCGAAACAGCTTATCTCTTGGCTAGGTACCTGGACCCTCCAAACTGCCTTAGAAGATGGGACATGACATGACCCTGTAAACAACAGGTACTCGTTCGTTTTGATTCTTTTTTGTACAACTGTCCAGGCTTGTTTTGTGTTTCCACATTTCATCAACACTTTTGCAGCATTTTACAAATCCCTTAGTCAAAGAAGCTGCTGGGTGTATCTGTCTGGGAGTGCACAGTTGGATTCCACATCCTGCAGCAACGAACAGCTTCTAACCCACGAGACGAGCCGTTTCAAAGGCGGACATGTCCGGAAAAGACAGGTAAAGCCGGTAAAGCGTAAAGCTTAACCGTTATATAACCTTTCTCCATCTGTTCTTGTTTAATAGGATGCCTCCAATCCCCAACAACAGGTTGAGCAGGTTATCCACTTTTCTTGGGTAGGTTTTTCACCTTTCTCAGATTGGCTGGCCCCGCCAACCTCTTCACATAACTGGACTGTGTTGTTTAATCTGAAGGTACATCATGCAAAGCTTGTTTCATCAAAATCAGCAAACATTATGAGGAGACCAATAGAGCAGGTGCAAAGAAACGTGCTAGACCCCCTATGAGCCTGTACTTGATGTCACCACTCATTGGCAGTCTCATTGGCCTTTCCCTGCAGCTACGATCCCCACATACTAAGCACGCATCTTCCAGGTCTCAGGTACCTCCGTTTCGCATGGTCGAAGAAGTCGGTGAGTACGAGTACGAACCAAACCATGGTCTCGAACGGAGGGGCCTTGAAAACACCTCCGAGAAACCAACTGTCCTGGACCCCTATATAAGAGATCTAAATAGGATGATCAGAACCTCTTAAACCCTCCAATGCATGCAACAAACATGCGGTGCTCCTCACATCTTGACCACATGGCCACTCGATTTGTCGCGCGGGTGTTGGTCGCACCTCGTGCTGCTGGAAGAGGTCAAAGTGTACTAGCCAACGAGAGGCGAGCATCAGCACGAGGAATCCTCAGAACCGCAGAACCAACTTGAACCGAATGAACCAGGCCGAGAAACCCGGATGTCCTGCTGCTGGCACCAGTTCTGAAAGTACGTTTACCTTTGACACCATCCGAAAAGGAGGCACCTCAACCCCGTGGGCATGAAAACACAAGCCTCAAGATGCCTAAAATCCATTGTAAATCATTGTGTTTTAATTGTTTTAGTCAAGGCCACCAACGAAAAGGGCAAAGGAATCCCACAAACCATCCCCCAAAACAGTCGGAATTATGACCCTCACGACTAAACAGGATGTGTATACCTAGGGCTCCTGGCCGGGTTGAGGTGGGTGTTAGGGGGGTCTAACTACCGAACCTGAGGATATGGGACAGGAACTGGGTCAGGAGCCTTAGGGATAGACTCGTCCTGCATCCTTGGGATTTGTCAAACCCTTCAAACCCATCTGCACCCTGGACAAAAGCACCAGTCTTGCACACCAACTCCTCTTCATTCCAGTAGCCTTAAAGGTCTGTAGGGGGAGCTCGCATATAAGCAAACACGTCCTCCCAAGCAAGGGTCATTTCCTTCACTTGTACAATAATAGGACACTTGTTGAAATGCAGCTGAACATCAATGCCTAGAAACAAGTCCAACGTGCACAACAGGCGCTAAAAATCTAAGCATGCACTATGTGTTTTCATTGATTAACAAGCACTAAAAGCTGTGCTTGTCAAGCTCTGGAATCTCGTGGGTTTTCAAAGCTCTTGAAAAGGACAAGTTTTAACATCCGCTCTCTTGTTGAACCAGTTCTATTCTTGGTGATGCACAAAAACTAACATTGCATACATCCAGGGATGGATGGACTACCACAAACCTACAAACCCGCCAGCTTTGGGCAGCTAGCAACGACCACAAACCCTTTTGTTAGGATCAGATCAGATCGAGGGTTTTCATGTCATTTGGGTTTCATGGCGTTTCGGAGGCAACAAAAAGGGTCCCAAAGACCAACCAAAATCTAACATTCATCCACTGTCCTAATAGGATCCGGATGTGAAATACCCTCCTGATGTGGGGGGAGCACGTTCTCCTTCAGCGAAGCTTGACACTTGGGGTACTGTATCACCTCATCTTATCCAACCAACTGTTAGCCGTCAAAGGCCATCTATCATGATTGGCCCGTCAAATGACGCGTTCTTCCCGACAGCGCAAAGATCCAAGAGGCCCAGGGTTTCCAGGAGCCGCTTGGAGGACACGACGTGCCACTCCGCCAGAAAGCCATGCTGGTAGGCATACCTGACAAATACTTGGGGATTTGATATCGAAGCCGGGAACAAAAAAGGCCAACATGCAAAATACACATCCCCAGGTCGGTTTCACCCAGGGATTCACCCAGGTTCGCTCGTGGGAGGCCAGTTGGCCGTTCGCTTCCCCCGATCCCTGCCACACCAACCCTACACCTCCAAGCACCTCCTCAGAAGGTATTTGGACCCTCCAAACCCACCCCTGGCCCACCTTCTCAGAAGGTATATATACTTGGAGGTCTAGGGCAAGTGGTGAGGCGTTCGAGGCAGTGGTATGGAACGACCCATTTTCTGTGGTACGACCTCGGTCGACTCGTGTCCGTGGATGGCGCGGCCCTGTTGATCCTGGTTCCGAAGACCAAACAGGGGGTGCCATCCACGGACACCATGTTCGTTCCTAGGTTAGGCCCATAGATTCTGGAATGCAAACACCTGTTCATCTGGAAATCTGGGGGTGTTCTTCAATGAGTCTACAATTACTGGTGGTCGGATCCAGGCTCTTTCTTAGTCAGCTTCCATCTGTATGAGGAAAGCAGCTATTTAGCATTGTTTGGCTCTGCCTTCATGAACCTGTGTCCCGGGTTCCTCATGAAAACAATGAAAAGAGGTTTTCTGACCGCGGAAGATCCAGAAAAAAGTGAATTTTGGGGGCACACATGTTCAAGGGGTCTATCGGTCTATTCCACAGCAATGCTCTACTTTTATGGATCCTCACATATCCTCACATACCATCTGGATCCTCATCATGCCGTCTGGGTGATTGGATACACTTTTATTGAGGGTCCAAGCGTACCGAAGTACCCTTGAGGATCTATAGATTGCCAGGGCGGGCAGCACAAGGGCGTCATCGGCGACTCTGAAATCCTCATGGTCGACCGGAACGGGAACCCCCGGTGAACCCCTCATGGTCTGCGAGCAAAGACCGAGCATTTGTGCCAGAAGGCACCAATTCCCGAGAAGCTCCTCCTGTCTTTCAAAGTGCTTGAGAAATTGGTCAGAAGCAATCAACATAACAGAAACCTTCCTTTTCCGAGTTCTGCAAAATAACCAAGGTAAAGACTCACAACAGGTTGCTGAGAACCCGAGAACCCCCACCTGTGCAACCAACTTCCAGGACTCGCTGGGACTGTGAATTCCGACCTGACCATGTTCTTGGCCTAGAACATGGGACATGACCCGAACCAAAACAGGCAGGGCTACGTGGCATGAGTGTAATTGAGTGTATCCCATTTTCTGAGGTACCCATGCATGGTCGACTCCAGGTATGAAGCATGGCAGTCTGGTAGTTATAGAGGGTTTTATCCATAACATCCAGTGGGGGGAACTCGTGTGTCAAGATTGGTTCATCTTCTATCTACTCCCAGATTGTTGGTTCTTCCAATTCCGCCCAGCAGCAGCTCTAAGCTTCCAGAATTCGACCCCAAGAGCTCCTGGCCCCCGCAGCTCTGGGCGGTCTTTAAGGCGTTCGGAAAAGAAGCTCCAAACGTGAAGGCCATGTGTTACCAGGTCTTGCTTCACAAACAGCAAAAGGTTCCGCTTTCTTGCGGTTTTGGGGATCTTCGTAGTCAGTCTGAGGGTGCTGCTTTTGTGTTGCAATGCAGAATCTTAGACTTTTACTTGGTCTGTTGCTGTTCAAGAGACATGCTACCTAGATCTATTTAGTCCAAACCACTCCATAAGCCTTAAAGAAGGGGGCAAAGTGATCAACACACACAATAATGTGCAAGGACTTGTAGCTGTCTTTCTTGTCAACGTCTTAAAATCCACATGTTTCATGTATATTTATATATATAGTCTTCCAGCGAGAGCAAAGCAAATCCAAACACATATTAAGTTCAAGGGCCTGCATGGTGGGTTACAATTATGTCTAGGAGTTTGAGGGAACCCACCACACCCCCTGACAAACAGAAAGGTTTCTGCAGCAAGGTTCCCACAACCGATCTTTAGTGATCCAAAACAAGTCAGGGCTGTTGAATCCCAAACCATCCATGGGACTGAGATACATTAAACCCGCCATCCCTACACCTCCGGTCCCAGCTCCGTTTCGGTGATTAGGGTGAGTGCCAGGGGGGTCGAATAGCACCGAACCGAAACGGAGCTGGGACTGGAGCCCTTCCCAGTTCGTCCAACGACTTCAGAGCCCGCCGCGCTAGGGGACGTCGTTCACGCGTCCGCGTTCTCTTCACGGACACCGAAAAAACACCGACCCTCAGGCAAAAAGCACAAGCAGCCCTGGTTGCTTCCAAGTAGTAAAGCATTTACATTGCTATCGTCTTTATAGGGTCATGTCATGTTCCAATTTTGACTTGAAGTCGGGTCCCAGGCATTCACAAATCGTTCTCAACTGCTGTACGGCCCAGGCATGTCAAGCGCTCTTGTACCGTTGGACCATGGATCTGGGCTGAAAAAGAGCTGAACTTCTGGCCGGAATCGCGTGGCAGGATTGAACTTCCCCACGGCGGAGCAGAAAGCACGGCACGTGGCCTAAACCTGCGAGAAAAAATATGATTGAACGTCCTCTTCTCATTGCAGAAAGCACGTCAGGGTCGTGAGACGCAGCCCAAAAGAATACTTTGGGCATGAAGTGTCTGACTGGAAGCAAACCTGAAGTTCAAGGCCTAAAGATGCGAACCTTCGACCCTGGTCCGCCGCTGGTCCGCGGATCCCCCCCCCTCCACTTCGCGTCACTCCAGCGTCCTGAACCTTCGCTCTTCGAAGGCTCCAGCAGGCACCCACCACACCGAACCTCGCTGCGAGCACCGAAGCGCTGCGGAGCGCTGCGGTGCAACGGACGCCCGTTCGTAGCGAGGTTCGGTCCCATGGGCAGCGTTCGTAGCATCGTTCGGGTTGTTGGACATGGGTAGAAGAGGGTAGAAGTACCATCCACAAACCCTAGGGCTCCAACCATATCCTCAAGTTCGGTGGTTAGACCCCCCAAACGCACCCACCCCAGTCCCATCTTCGAAACGGGTGGTGGGACAGGAGCCCAAACGGGACTGTTGTTGGTCCCATGTTCTGAAGGGAACGACGTGGGGTCCAGGTAGACGGAGTGCAAGATCCGACGTCAGGACCCCAGCGACCGATTTAAAAAGCCACAGCGCCCAGAAGAACCCACGTGACCCGTCGTGGATGCACAAGTGGAAGGTTGAATGTATAAATTCCTAAAAAATGGCTGCATTTCAGAGCCTTCGTTTCTTTGAGAGTCAGAGCATATTTCAGAGCATTCATTTTGCGGAAAGGGCTGCCATGAGGGGCGGAAAGGACGAACCGCGATGAGAACGGATTCGTTTGGATCTCAATTCTCTGGTCTGAGACTGCAAGCATTTTGGGGGGAAATCCAGCAGGATACACCATGGTACTCACCATGGTTTCAGACCGTACCAAACAGGGATCCACATACCTATCCACATACCTTCTCAAAAGGTAAGACTGGACAGACTGGACCCTCGAAACCTACAAACAAATTGTATCCAACAACCTTCTCAAAGGGTACGTATGCGGATCCATAGGGTTAGCTGGCGCCATATCCAAACATATCCAAACCATCAACTTCAGATTCCAGGGCATCCGCATGGATCCCCTGGTTCATTTCGACAAAGTTCCAAATCAACAAACCACTTGAAACCACCAAACCCTCAGCTTCCTGATTCAGTTCCTTCAAGAATAAGAGATACTCCCCCTTCCCTTCAACTTCCACGTGAACTGCAGGGCCAGGTGGCAGGTAGGAGGTGCCGGTGATGGTGGTGATCGCATCCTCACAGAAGGTGGTCATTTGCCCTCCCCATTGCGAACTGTGACTCAATCAACGCACACTCCCAGATCTCAGGATGGAACCTTTTGGTTGGTCGATTGGATATGATTTGGGACATTCTCACGGAAGAACTCTTGCCCAACGAACTACATATTGACATAATAAGCCCTTGTGAGGAGGGAGACACTCGTCCTTCTTGGGGGACGATGCGATGCTTGGGGGACCCAGCAGAGTTGTGCTGTGATCCAGTGATACCATGGTGCCAGGTGCCTGGTGTCTGCCTGGTGCTCAGAGCAATGCTACACACAGGAGATGTGCCAACAAGCCGTTTTGCTTTCGAGCATTGGCAGTGCAGGAACGTGCCTGGAAGAATGACGCCCCCACCGGCGCACGAGTCCGGGTAACCCAGTCGTTTGCAAAGGAAACACCTGGAACCTCCAAAGTACCATCGAACATGGTACATGTGACATGACCCTACAAAAAACAGGTACTGGTACAATTTGTCCGAAGTACTTTGAGACTCCAGATGCTACTCCAGGTTTATATAATGTTGCCCTACAAGTCAAAGACCTCACTGGAGATGGTCATACAACACCAATACTTAAGGAGGTAAACGACCAGGTTTTACTGGGTCGGAATGGACTTGTAGGGTCTGCCTGTTGTGTTTCAGCCAGTTTCCATGGGATCCCCATGGCCCTCGGTCACCGGAGACACCGGGGTGTCTGAGATTGACTGTCTGTTGATGGACTAAGTGTACTCTGGGTGTGCAAAGACCTAGAAAAATAGAACTAATAATGGTTTGTACCGGCAGATTAAACACCTCTCTTCCAGAACTCTTGTGCAAATCTAAACATTTTTCCTCAATAAGGTCCAAGGATGTCCAAGGCTCATAGAACTCTCCGCTGCTCTGATAGATCATCACGGTGATGAGACCGCCTATGCCCAGCAGGAAACCTGGGTTTTTGCGTCGCGTCGCATGCGTCGCAAAAACGGCGGACCTGCTGGAGACTTCCAACGTTTGCTGCGTCAGAAAACGGACGTGTCACCTGACGACGGGTCAACAACACGACGTGCCGTATGGAACAGTTGGAACCTTTTAGATGTTGCCTCGACCTGCACCGGTCGACGTCAGGCCAAAACCGGTCGACGGTTGTGGCATGTAAATTTCGCCATGCGGACCATGGCTATAGCCCGGGCGGCTTTCAAGAACATATCTTGTTACAGTAAACCTGGTTTTGTAGTGTAAAATTATTCGTAACACAATGGTTGTTTGGGATTCAACCATACAAATCATGGGGAGCCAGGAATCTAGGTCTAACATCGCTATCGGATGCCGGTAGACGTTTGCATGCGGCTCAGTTCTCTCTCAGTTTCCTCCCAAAAGGTTGACTGGAAAGGCCCTTTTTTCTGTTCCCGTTCATCTTTGTTAGGACCTCCCCAAGTGCATGAAGCCCACCGGCAAAAAAAAATACCACACTCCATGGGACTGTCATATTTACCGACATCGGAATATATTTGGTTTCCGAAGGTCAATGTAGGCAAACAAACTTTACATAGAGTGTGAGCGGTTGCTATGCGAGCGATCCTATCCAACCACTTCCCCAAGTCCCAACTGAGTGTACCAAAAGTTTACCTCCTTCATTTATTATTGCGTCGCCCATGTATGAAGAAATGCACGCAATCTCTTCATCCCAATCCCAAACACCAATTGAACCTTTCACGTGATACTTTCCCAAATTTAAATGGCTTTTTTGGTCGAAACAACATCACAAAAAGTTGCCGCAACGCCTCAACGCGGCCATTGCATCGATCCGTTAAGATCAACCAAACGATCACAGCGAAAACGAGGGGCTGAGGATACAGAATCTCTGCAACAGCAGCAGCAGCCAAGCCTCTGGGATCAAAAGGCCCATGAAGTGAAAACCCACCTGAGCTCTGACGGACTCGTCCACCGGAGCAAGGAAGTCGCAGCGGAAGTCGCCACGGGCGAGGAACTCGCAGCTGCCGGCGAGTTCGGGTGGAAGCTTCTTTTCAAACTATGTCAGGCGCTGGATGAGGGCAAGGAGTTTTCAATTTTCAACTAGTAGACTAGCGCAGGCACAGTTCAACTATTATGTTCAACTGTTCACTTGTTCGCTGGCCTTCGAACACAGCGCAGCTAACTACTCTCAGGTACTTAGGACCCACCGAAGAACTGAAAGACATGGACACGTGGTCGGTCATGGCTCCCGGTTTTGATCAATGACAATGCAGAGATTCCTCTATAAGGACCATCCAAGAGGTGTCTATAAATAGCCTCTTAGGGGTTATATAAGGGGTGTCTAAAGACCACCGGGCGATTTCAGGTGGTCCTGGTCTACCGTGGTCTTCATGCACCGGACTGGAAAATCGTTATACTTGCATGGATGGGTCGTTTTCATGCCGGTTTTCATGTACCCTGCACCTCCAAGCAGCTCCTCAGAAGGTATTGAAGGTATTTGGGACCCTCCTAGGACCCTAGTCCCACCTTCTCAGAAGGTACGACTGGAGGTGTAGGGTGTATGTAAATCTTCCAGTCCCATGGATGGGGGTCCCATGGATGACCTACCATTTCCTGGGTGGGTTTTCCAGGTGCTTCAGCCAGGCTGAAGCGTAACGACTCTACTCCCAGATGTGCTGTGATGTTCTGGCCTGGGCGTGCGAGACCGTGCGAGACCGACATCACCCAGTTCTTCAGAGCATCACCAGTCGTCGGGTTCGCCCGGTTCGTCCATGAAAAGCAACGACCGAAACCGTTCACGACCTCGCACGACCGACTGTTGGAACATAGGCCAATGACCCTATGACCCTGTTTGCTGCTCACTCCAATGTAGGTATAAATATATGTCAAGTCACATGGAGTGTCACATGGAGTGGTTCCTTGTCCATTTTCTGGTGGTAATTGGATGTAACTGGAGTGATTTGATTTATATAGCAACAATATGCAACAATCATCAACCACGTACACTCACTGGAATAGTCAGTGTGCACTCACCGCCATGCGACCAAAAAAGCACCACGCAATATGATATCTAGAGAAGCGAATACCCTAGCTGTCTATCCTGTGATGCATTTCTATGATTCAAAGAGTATAAAGGGCCTCCAACCAACCTTATCCCGAGGAGGCCTTCTAGATTGGCCTCCGCCCCTCTCCACCACCCTCCTTCTCATCTTTCTCTTTCAACACCTTTGATTTGTTTGTGTACGCATCTTTGGTCCCACCCTACTCACCCCCAAATCTGCATGTCCAAACACCCAGACTGCCACCGTCGAGGCTTGTGACCAAGGCTCCTGAGCACCGCGCGACATCGGGCAATAGAAATCCAGCCTTGGAGTGAGGCCAAACGGTCGAGGCGGAGAACCGGGTGGCAGGAGAGCAAAACCAAAAAAAAACGAGAGCGGATGACGTGAGTGAGATAGATGGATGCTTATACCTAGGAAGGTGATTGGTTTCCTGACGCAAATGGATATGACATCGTCGCAGTGACTGGGTTTTCCTTGGCAGTGGAGTATCCCAATTGAAATTCACCCCAGTTCTATAGTAAAAAAAAAACAAAGAAACGCCTACCCCCATGGGCCTCCATGCGTTATCCTTATAAGATTTATAAGAAAGGTTCCCACTCTGGTTCCCTACAGGTCGAGGATCTCATGAAATACTGGACCTGGTCGTACAGAAACATTCTTCACAAAAGAGAACCAGGCCCAAACACTCCATGTATGCCATATATGCCTACATTGACCCCAAAACCACCCCAATGTAGGCATATATGGCAGTCCCATGGAGTGTCTGGGAGGTGTTCTTTTCACACCTCCCTAAGAATTCAGTCCCTCCAATGGAGGTCCGCTGAACCTCTATAGCTAGGTCGCCCTGGTGAGGTGGGCGAACTGGCTCCCGCCTCCGTTCCCGCCTCGCTGTTGCTCCCCTGTCGCCCTTGAGCCGCGTCGCGCGGTGCGCGTGGAGTCTCCAAAGCCTCGAGAATTGCTTCCCGCCAGCGAACGCCTGGGGAGGGGGCTGGAAGGGGGCGCCAGGGGATTCACAGCTGCATGTTTTATACCAGGACCTTCCAACAGGTCACCACCTGCGACTTTTAAGTCTCCAAAAGCCACCATTTCGGAGACCTGTTGGAGGGTGCTGGTACATGTATTAAAACATGTTTACATCGCCAGGGGAGACCTCCGGGGCCATCGTTTTCGAAAGCGGGACAACGTTGTTTGCCAGGTGCCGGATGGCCAGGTCGAAACGGAGGCGGGAGCGCCATGGGGGGATGGAGGAAAGAGGACCAGGCACGCGCCCTTGACCCTGATCTCCATATTGGTGGTTCGACTCTTCCCTCGATTCATCAACCAACCAACAAATAGGACCTTATATGGCAAGTGAAGTCGAGGTCTTTGTTGCGCCCGGCCCCAAACCGTTGGACGGCCAGGACTCCGAAGCGGGGTAAACCGCTCATCGTCCTACACCTCTCCTGTGCTGTCCTGACTTGAAGAAGACCCGGACACGCACATGGGCCTCGCACCGATCCATTCACCCCTGAAATCAACCACCCCGAACGGCCGTTTCTCGGTACATATGCCAGTCCCAGACAGGTCGTGTCTGGGATAGAGGGGAATACCGATATGCTCGCACATCACTTGGGAATCATCCTCTCTATTCATCCTCCTGACCCAGGCCGTAGTGTACTACAGGCCATGAAAACGCCAACGTTCAGCTGAACACCATTGGTGGTCCATGGTTGCGAACGGAGAAAAACCTCTTAGGCCAAAGCCTGGCCATTTGCACCTTCTTAACCCTCTGAATCTGCAGCCCTTTTTGTCTTAAAAGTTCGGTACACTACGTAGAGGTTGAGAACGGAGAACCAACCATAAGCAAGCCGAACCAACCACGCCACCATCCAAAGCTTCAGCTCCATGTTTAGGTTTAGTAGGTACAGTTCTGTAACTAGGTTTTCCAAGTGTTTCAAGGTGTGACCCAGTCACCCCGCACAAATCAGGAGACGTTTTGGCATCGTGCTTGTCCTGGAGCCCATCCAAATCCAAATGCCTCGCAGCGCTGACTTCGCCACAAATCAACAAGAAAGGTGAATCGAACAGTCCAACTCTTTCATGTTGAGTTGGGAAACCAATCCCCCAAAACCAGGAGTAACCACCCCTTTGGAACCTCTGGAATCAAGGTAATCCACATTTCCTTGGTAGGCAGGTTCTCCACCAGTCTCGACGATGGGGTGGTGCACTTGTTCAGAGTGCACGTGGTCACCATTTGTCTGTGTCAATCGTCAACGGGTAAGGTGAGGCGGCCACACTCCCCAGCTATGGTCGTTTTGTTCGATGACTGTCATCGACTACCATCCCAGCTATGGTCAGGAACGGACCTCAAGTGCAATGATAATATCTCCCGTTGTGCTTAACTCTCCTAGCGGGTATACGCATTCCGACACATTCCTCCTGACTATCATGTATAATATATGTGACGACCCCCCCCTTTTGGTCACTCTCCTAGGGGGATACAAACATTCTTCCTGACCAATACTGTATATGATATGACAATCCCTTCTATAGTAAGCGGCCCTCGATGCCCTCGAATGCCCTCGATTCGCCCGGCCCCCCCCGGCGGCCTATCACTCTGATCCAGGATTTCTTTACGATCGGTGCTGCCCATGCGCGCCAAACTGATCCTCTGCGCGAACGGAGCCAGCTCGGTGCGTGACCGAGCTTCCGAAATGTGACCGAGCTTCCGTAACGAGGACATCCGGTGACGATGAATTGGTTGGCCTGGTTCCCCCGCAAAATGGCTGAGACGTGAGATGAGAGGAAAGAAGCTTCAACTGACTGGTGCTTAGTAGGGAATAAGGGAATGAGCCCCCAATAGAGATTCTATTGGATCCATTCCCTCATTCCCTGCTAAGCACCAGTCAGTCAAGGAAACAATTCGGTGGTCCAACATCTTTTCAGCGGTCCAACGTTTTGTAACCAACATGCTTCTTCCAAACCAAACCATGCGATTTTTTCTTGGCGCTTGTTTTGCTGGCTTCCTGGATTTTGGCGAGCCGAGGCCATGGTCCGATAGTGGATTGATGAAGGACCAGCTGATTGACAAGTTCATCTCCATGACGTTTGGAGACCTGTGACGGATAAACATGCTCCTTCTTCCAGGAATCACATGGAGGCCAGGGTGGTGTGGCTCAGAAGTGGCTCATCCTATCCAGTGAGTGGATGTGACAGGGGCATCCTTATCCCTATCCTCCATTCAGCACACGCTTGGAGCTCCTGGTTACTAAACATACCCAAATTCTGTTGTGCTGACGGTAACACTCCCAGAAGCATCGAATCGCCACATAAAGAGATGCACCAAGCCAGGCCACGTCCTCACCTTCGGCGTAGTGTCCTTGGCCATGCGGAAGAACATCTTCCGCACGCTCGACCGCTGTGCAAAAAAGGCATCTGGTGCCTGAAAAAAAACAAATAGAACACAAACAAGTGCCATTCATGACCAATCGATCCACCCTTCAATCAAAGCACCTATTCCATTGCCATTGGTGGATTTCCATTGGGGAGCTTCCGACTGTCCACACGGCCCGTGTTGCCACACCGTGAACGACGCCGAGCCGAGAGCTTCCGACTGTTTGGTGGATCTTAGATTCTGGAGAAGACACAGCAGTCAAGAATCTACTGGCCGACAGGTCCTAGAACATGGGACATGACCCGGAAAAAAAAATAAACAACAACAGGACCTGAACATCTGCCTTTTTGTAGATCTGTAAGTAGTATATGGTTGTCCAAACAGGTAAACCCGACCTTGGACGCCCCTCACCATGAAAACGGCCCACAAATGAACATATATAGATCTTCTTACGCCTTTGCAGACGAACATCAAGACAACAAGAACCTCATGGCTTGCAAAGGGCACGGGTCGTCCATTGTGGTTTGTGGTCCATTTTTGTTGTTTTAATATTACAATATATGTATCCATGGGTATTATATATTTAGTTAATATCATAATTATACATGTGCAATATGATATTATCTTTAAGTATATATACATGGGCTCGTGGACATTTCAATTGCCCATGGGAAGCAAGTGTTTCGGAACCATCTGATCAGGTTCTGTATCTGCTGTATATGTGTGTTGTAATTAATCTGCTAACAAATCAATCCGACTCTGCTAACAAACGAACTTGAAAGATCTTCATGTTTAGTGAGTTAGTGGGATGTCCCCAATCCCCCAAAATGGTCGGTTATATAAATTAGTTTTCAGGAAAGTAAAGGTGTTCCCTGCCAACATTCTGCAGTAGACCTTTTTATTCAGAGATCCCCACCTGACATTTTACCGGACATCTGAGAAACCAGGTGACCCCAACAGAAAACCACGGATCCGCTCACGAACTCCGGTGCTACGACTCGTCTCCAGGTCCGGAGACACCGGTGTGACGGTTCGATCGCGACGTGGTTCCGGTCCAGTCGTAGAGCTTCAAGCGAAAACGGATCCCTATGTATAACGATGGAGCATGTGGATGGAACCCAGACAATCCATGGGACTGCCATATATGCCGATCAATTGACCCCTTTTCAACCACCCCTGGCCTGATCGGTAAATATGCCAGTCCCATTAGTCGTGTTTGGGTATGTATACGAAAACGATGGAGCCATGTGGATGGAAGTAAGGCATAGGCATATAGGCATCGCCAAGACTCGACCACCACGTTCTTGGAGTGTGAGTTCAACTCCATGGCCGATTGACTCTTCTGCAGGGAGCCATGGGAGGAGCCCCGATGTGAAGAGTCCGAGGGGGCGCCAAGGCCTAGCGGAGCGGAAGCGGTGAGCGGAGAGCAGGGCGGGGCGGCCAGGGCGGTCAGGGGAGGAACCCCTCCCCCCGAGAAGACCGGTGGGGTTTGGGGCGTGTGGTTTCCATGCCACTCGACCTGTCTCCATGCCACATGTCTCCGTTCGGGTCACCGTTCGTCAGCTCCTTCCCGCTCCAGCCGTTCGGGTCTCGAAACCAGGACGGGTTTTGGACCGATTGGATGCATATACCAGCAGTCACAAGACGGGGTGCCGAACGAACGAAGTCGGGGTCCCCAGCTACTCCACTCCCTATAGGGACTAAAGACCACCCAACTCCATGTGACTCCTGGTAGGGGCACTATGATTCACTGTCACTGACAGTCAGGTCAAGCAACATGCGACCGAACAAACCGTGTGGGGGTCGAACGTGCGCCTGGCGCAGCTGTAAGACGCGAGGCCTCCCATCAAAAAGACACCGGTCCGACCACGTGTTGGTGTGCTACAAAATGACATAACATGGCAACGAATAACATACCAGGACCCTCCAAGGGGTGTCCAATGGACTACCCCACACTACCTATAGGCTTCCATTGGGCACCCCTTCAAGGGTCCTGGCATAAAGGACAAAGTTTGTACACCCCAACGTCAAGGGCAAATGACTTCTCGATATGTTAGTCTTGCGCCAAGTCTGACTCATGGTGCTTGTGTTGAAAGCGGATAATCCCTGGATCCGCAGGTCTCTTGAATCTGATTTGGATGAGTCACTTGCCCGACAATGAGCATTATGCATTGCCTACTTCCAAAACCAGTTTCCACACCTCTCCAAGTGTCAACCCCCATCGATCCTCGGGCGATCTCCGATGCCCCTGGCGCACCCCCTCCGGATCCCCCAACCGACCTCCGCAGACGGGCTCCGATCCCCCAACCGGCACCTTGTCGGAAGCTCAAGGGGTCTTGGCTGTCCAAATTCAGGACCGGATCCTGGGTGCTTCGATGAACGGCCCTCTGATCGGATCGATCCATGCCACGGCCACCGTGACGGCACGCCGGTCCCCCCAAACGAAACAAACCGAAGGCCGAGGTCCTGACCTCGTGAAAACGGATGCTGGGGCCATCCCAAAATCGAATCCAAGCCCTGACGCGGCCAATGTAGTATGCAATGGCCGTGGCTTTTCAACGTCAATTGATCAAAACATCTGCCTGTTTGAATCGCTCACTCACTCCTCACCAGTTTGGTCAATCCTCACTCCGTAGCCATTTTGGCTCGGTCGACCGCAGTGCATTACTGTGATGTGACTGGTTATTATCCAGTGTTGGCACTGCGGTTGCTGGAAGTGTGCTATTTTTTCATCTTCCCTAGCACTTCCTGTCTGGGTGCCCCAGACAGGGAGGCCTATTTACGTAGGGTAGGGTAGTCTATTGGACACCCAAACAGGATGATCCTGGTCTGTCAACGATTTCGCACTCTGCGGAGCTTCGTCGATTCGACGCGGACTCCGAGCGCCCAGCTGAAATCGAAGCTTCACAAAGGGTGAAGGATTCCCGATGGATGGAGGTTGGCTGCAGGTTGATAACCCAAACACGACCTGTCTGGGACTGGCATATTTACCGATCAGGCCAGGGGTGGTTGAAAAGGGGTCAATGTAGGCATATATATGGCATACGTGGAGTGTCTGGGTAATGAATTACTAAATTGCTGTCCATCCGGAATGTTGTTTTATTGAGTCTTCACTTGGTTGCATAGTCGAAATATGCTATGTTTCAGCAGGCCATTCAACCCGACCCAAAATCATCGACCAACACGTGAAAACCGCGGCCCGTTTCGCCCCACGCGTGGTTCGTTTCGTTTCGTTTCGCAGCCGCGCGTCACTGGTGTCGAGGTCGTCATTCTCAGTGGGTTCCTGCGGTGTCGGAACTTCCGGTGCACAAAAAGCACATATGAAACGTCTACACGCGCATCGCCTTGATTAAATGATAGATATATGGGGGTTGTTCTTTATTCAGTTGCAGGGCATAAGGCTGAAAAGCCCTTGCGCTCGCCCTTGCGCCTTCTTGCGCCTATGAGGGTTTTTGCATGTTTTGACTGTTCTATTTGTTTTAGTACTAGCAAGAAAACGTGGCGCGCCCGACCTGGAAATGAGAAAAGTAGTAGTAGCAGCAGCAGTAGTAGTAGGAGCAGGAGGAAGAGTAGGGAGTAGGAGTAGGAGTAGTAGTAGTAGTAGTAGTAGTAGTAATAGTATTATAGTAGTAGTAGTAGTAGTAGTAGTTGTTGTTGTTGTAGTCGTAAAAGTACTAGTAGTAGCCGTAGTGGTAGTAGCCGTAGTATTAGTAGCAGTAGTAGTAGTAGTAGTAGTCGTAGTAGTCGTAGTAGTAGTCGTAGTATTAGTAGTAGTAGTGGTAGTAGGAGGGGTAGTAGTAGTAGCAGCAGTAGTAGTAGTGGTAGAAGTAGAAGTAGTAGTAGTGGTAGTAGTAGTAGTTGTAGTCGTCGTCGTCGTAGTAGTAGTAGTGGTACAGTAGTGCAACCCAGTGGTACAAACCTTCAGCTTAACGCAAAACCTATCGTTTTTTCTACTTTTTTGCGCTCCGAAGTCATTTCCTCAATGAGAACCATGTTGGTAGTAGTAGTCGTCGTCGTAGTAGTGGTAGTAGTACTGCCTCTTGCTCCTTCTTTCCTTTTCCTCTGGTTCTTCATTTTCCTTTTCCTTATTCTCTAGTAGTAGTAGTAGCAGCAGTAGCAGTAGTGGTAGGGCTAGTAGTAGGAGTGTGGTAGTAGTCGTAGGACTAGTACTAGCCTCTTGCTGTGTCTTTCCTTTTCCTCTTGGTCTTCCTTTTCCTCTTGTTCTTCATTTTCCTTTTCCTTATTCTCTTGTAGTAGTATTAGTAGTAGTAGTAGTCGTCGTAGTAGCAGTAGTAATAGCAGTAGCAGTAGCAGTAGTAGTAGTGGTAGCGCTAGTAGGAGGAGTAGTAGTGGTAGTAGTCGTAGCTCTCGTGGAAGTAGTAGTTAGTAGTAGTAAAAATAATAATGGGCCTCTTGCTCTTCTTCTTCCTTTGGTTTATCTTTATTTCTTTATTCCCCTTCCTCTTCCTTTTCCTCTTCTTTGTTGTTTTCCGCTTCCTTTTCCTCTAGCTCTTCCTCTTCCATTCCCTCTTGCTCTTCCTCGTCCTGTTCCCCTTGCCCTTCCTCAAAACCTATCGTTTTTCAGCGCTTTAACTTGAATTATTCGTATTCCTCTTC